TTTGGTAGAACCTAGAAAATGATTAACTACTTTAATTCTTTCATTAAATACTTCAATTCCTTCCTAAAAACACTTTTTTTTTTTGAGATGCAGTCTGGCTCTGCCACCCAGTCTGGAGCACAGTGGTGCGATCTTGGTTCACTGCAACCTCTGCCTCCTAGGTGCAAGCAATTCTCCTGCCTCAGCCTCCTGAGTAGCTTGGATCACACGCCTGGCTAATTTTTGTATTTTTAGTAGAGACAGGGTTTCACCATGTTGACCAGGCTGGTCTCGAACTCCTGACCTCAGGTGATCTGCCTGCCTCGGCCTCCCAAAGTGCTGGGATTACAGGCCTGAGCCACCCCGCCTGGCCTGTAAAAACTCTTTCTTCGCGAAAAGGAAAGAAAGGTCAAACTGCTGCTAAAGATAGCAGAATTTATTTCAAAGAGAGTTCATTCATTTTCTGGGTGGAGTACTTCAGGGCAGAAAAAAATAAATCAGAAAAGAACACACACTACACACAAAACCACACACCCACACCCCGCCATCCTGGGAAAAGGAGCGAGGGCCTTCGAGAGCAAAGCAGGAGGAACGAAAAGGAAGCAGGGAGGGTGGGGCGGGGGGCGGGGGCAGGGGCAGCTGATCAGGGAGGCCCCCCAGGAAAAGGCCGCTCCCGAGCCACTCCCGACTCCTGGGAATGAGGGGCTCTGGGCGAGCCCAGCCTACACCAAGGCAGCCACTCCACGGCCAATGAGGACTGGCGAGGCGAATGCACACCAAATTAGGAAGGCAGGCACCGCGGGGGCGGGGCGGCACCGGGAGGGGACAGCCTTGCAGGCAGCCAGCTCTCCGGGCCTGGCCCCGCTCCCACCTCCGGATCTGTTAGGGAGCCAGCCAGAGAGGAGAGTTGGGAGGGGGCAGGGAACGGCAGGGAGTGTTTGTAAACACGCCGGCTCCACCCTACAGCAGAAACTCAAACTGAAAAGTATCTTGGCAGGCAAAACCTCAAGGGCCTCTGAGGTTTCTAAACACTCAATTGAATTCCACGGTGCTAAGATAAACGGATGTAAACAGAGAGGCTTTTATTGTAACAATGGAAGGCCAAAAAGCCAGACAGCCAGTCCCTAACTTACTACTTTCTCTGCGCAGAATTCCCTCTAATAGGAATCCGGTCTTTGCACAGGGCGGTTTCAAAGAACAGGACTGGGCGGAAGGAGGGGAACGGGGTGGCCCCCCACCTTCCCGGCTCCCGCAGCAAGATCAGGGCGGGTGCAGGCCCAGGGAGCTGCTCGCATCGCCCACGGGGACTCGCGGTCACAGGAGGCCGCCACCCAGCTTCTCAGAAGAGCTTCAGCCGCAAGAGCTTCAGGTGCTCAGTACGAAATTTCTTCACTCCCAGCTATAAAAAAGAACGAAATCTTGGCCTGGGCAGCAACGCGAGGGAGCTGGAGGCCCTTGTCCCAAGTGAACTCACTCAGAAACAATACCGCACAGCGCCTGTTCTTGCTTATAAGCAGGGGCTGAACGCTGGGTACCCAGGAAGAGGAAGATGGAAACAAGAAACTGGGACTCCAAAGCGGGGAGGCGGGAGAGGGCGAGGGGTGAAAGATGACCTAGGGGGTACGCGTTCACCCTTTGGGTAATAGGCACCCTAGAAGCCCAATCCCCAACAGTATGTAATATACCCATGTCACAAACATGCATATGTACCCCCTGAAGCTAAGATAAAATAAAAATAAACAGTATTTTCTCTGCCCTAATTTAAAAAACAGGTATCACTTATTAACTCCTTTGCAAACTACGACCTCTCTTGTCATACAAACGCGACTTTAATGTGCAAATTTAGATTAACACTGGGAAACAGTTTTATTTTTTTAAGTCCCCTCCCGGAGCAAATCAAGATATTTTTCTTTCTTTCAATATGGTGAAACTCCGTCTCCACTAAAAATACAAAAAAAAATTAGCTGGGCTTGGTGGCGTGTGCCTGTAATCCCACCTACTCTCCAGGCTGAGGCGGGGGAATTGCTTGAACCAGGGAGGCGGAGGTTGCAGTGAGCCGAGATCACACCACTGCACTCCAGCCTAGGTGACAGAGCCTAGGTGACAGAGCAAGACTCCGTCTCAAAAAATAAAATAAAAATAAAATAAAATAAAGCTTCTCTTTAGCTGGATTACAACCTGCTGATTAATAACCCACTGCCAGGCTAAGGCAGGGGCGCTGGCCTAGCCCTTCCCCAGGAGCCCCGGATCACTGCCTGGCCTGCTTCTCTCTGGACCTGAGGCCTCTGCTGCCCACCTCAAAAGCAGCAGGAGCAGCCTCTTCTGGGGTGAGCTCCCAGCAGCACATGAGCTGGTCTTGGCCACTGTTCCTACAGTGCCTTTAAGGTGGTATTAGGTAAAGACTTCAGGATATATGCGGTGCTCAACTGCTTCCTTCAGATACAATTCCCGTCACACTCAATTCACCATTTATTCATTTACTTAGAGATGGAGTCTCGCTCTGTCGCCCAGGCTGGAGTGCAGTCATGCAATCTCAGCTCACTGCAACCTCTGCCTCCTGGGTTCAAGCCATTCTCCTGCCTCTGCCTCCCAAGTAGCTGGGATTACAGGCGTGTGCCACCACGCCCAGCTGATTTTTATATTTTTAGTAGAGACGGGGTTTCACCATGTTGCTCAGGCTGGTCTCGAACTCCTGGCCTCAAGTGATCTGCCCGCCTTGGCCTCCCACAGTGCTGGGATTACAGGTGTGAGCCACCGCGCCCAGTCAAGTCACCCTTTAAAGTGACTTTCAGGATATTCACAAAATTGAATAACCATCATCACTGTCTACTTCCAGAACATTCTCTCATAAAGTTGTATGAACTAAATAAAATACTGCATGTGCACTGCTCAGCACAGGGCCAGGCGGGCACACACCAGGCTTTCAGTCACTTAGGATTCACCATCATCATCATCCCAGAGGGTCATGATGTCACAGCACTGGCTCCGCAGGCGGGAACCAGGCCCGGGAAGGTGGGGGCTGAAGTGACCGCAAAGAGTCACACACGCAACCATGCCCGGCCTGAGCCCAGGGCCTCGCCTTTCCACAGCAGAACTGTCCCTGAACTTCTCTCTCCACGAGAGACTCACTCACCCACTGGCTCTGGAAAAAAGGAGGCCGACTCCAGGCAACTCAAATGGAGATGATTCCCACCTTGTAACTTGTAGGAGGCCACTGGTAACTTGTCAGCAAAGCAGGGTAGAGGAGCCGTGCCCCTGATGGCTGTGTTCCAAGAGAAGCCAGTGTGTAATTCTAACTGTGGACCCTGAAAAGGTACAGGCCACGTACGGGCTGGGTGTGTTGACTCACACCTGTAACCCCAGCACTTCGGGAGGTGGAAGAGGGAGGATCTCTTGAGCCCAGGGGTTCCAGACCAGCCCGGGCAACATAGCAAGACCCTGTCTGTACAAAAGATAAGAAAATTAGCTGGGTGTGGTGGTGCATGCCTGTGCTCCCAGTGACTTGGGAGGCTGAGGTGGCGGAATCGCTTGAGCTCAGGAGCTGGAGGCTGCAGCAAGCTATGATTGCGCCATTGCACTCCAGCCTGGGCGACAGAGTGAGACGCTGTCTCTGAAAAACGAACAAAAGCCCTCTCTTCTCCTACAGCTGCAAGGGGGTAAAAAAAAAAGAAAGCAAAGGTGCAGCCGGGGCTCAGCAGAGTGCGCAGGTCAGCAGGGAGGGACTGACGTGGCTGGCCCAGGATTGCCACGGCACTCGCTCCAACAGACCAGCGTGCCCAGAATGTGCCTCACAGATGTCTCCGAGGGCCCCTGAGCCCCTTTCAGGGTATAGGTAAGGTCAACACCATGTTCACAACAGCCCTAAGATGCGATCTGCTTTTTCCACTGGGCTGACCTTTGCTGGTGACGCACGAGCGACGCGGTGCTGCGGAGGAGTCACAGCTCCGGCACCAAACCATGCGCGGCCACGCGTCCTCAGGGCCACAGACATGCAGTTGGGAGAGAGAAAAGCCAGCCATGTTTAGGAAATGTCCGCGATGAAGAGGTAAATCATTAAAGAACGTATGACCCCTCCAGCCTCAAGCACACGTCTGTTTTTGCATCCTTGTATGACAGGACCAGGGCCAGGGCTGTGTGCCACGCATCCAGGATGCCGCCTGAGGTTCATGTGTAACTCAGTCCAGGGCTCACCGGCACTCCCTACACAGAGCTCTGTTTACACTTTTCACCCTGCAACCCCTACTCAGGAGTTTATCATTGTATAACACACCAGAGATGAGGAAGTTTGAAGACTTTCTTCAAAATCTAGATTAATTTCTAAAAAGTCATAGAGAATTTTCACAAATGAAGTTTCAAGAAACAAAGTTCACCAAATCCTCGTGGACAAATATTACTTTAAAACATTTTCAGCCAGGCGCAGTGGCTCACGCCTGTAATCCCAGTACTTTGGGAGGCCACAGCAGGCAGATCATTTGAGGTCGGGAGTTCAAGACTAGCATGGCCAACGTCGTGAAACCCTGTCTCTACTAAAAATACAAAAAAATTAGCCAGGCGTGGTAGCAGGCGCCTGTCATCCCAGCTACTTGGGAGGCTGAGGCAGGAGAATGGCTTGAACCTGGGAGGTGGAGGTTGCAGTGAGCCGAGATCACGCCACTGCACTCCAGCCTGGGTGACAAAGCGAAAACTGTCTCAAAACAAACAAACAAAAAAACCATTTCCAATGTCCTTTAAAAAAAAACAAAACAAACGAAAGACAACAAAAAAACCTGTGCTTGCTTTAACAAGCCCTAATATGTAAAACTTCCAGTGGGAAAAATGATGACCAGGCAGTGATTCTTCCCTTTGTAAGAGAATTCACAGAGATTTCAGCCAGGTCCCGGATGCACATACAACACTTTCTGTGTTTCCATACACGTGCAATTTTCCAGAGAGATTTGGACCCCAGTGCTGCATGCGACAGGCACGCTCGCACCATCTCCCTCTCTCCCGGGGGCCCAAGGGCAGGCTGGGGGGCTGCTTACCTGATGGTGCCAGTCGGGGAGGGGACGGGACTGACCATGCTCCGGAGGTCCGGCTCCGGGATGTGGATCTTCAGAGGGGAGATCTGTGGGTATAGCGGCCGGAGCGGGGAGGCCGGGGCCTCTTCTTTGTGGTAGAGCGACGTGAACTGGATCTTGATGGCCGTGCTGGGAAACCGGAAGGTGCACCTGCAACGGGAGGAGGAGCGGGTGTGAGGTGCAGCAGAAGACTCGAGAAGACACCAACATCCAGGGAAGGTGCATGTCCGTGTGTCAACGTAAACGGACCCTAACTCTCAAACCTGGGCCCCAGAGAGCAGTTGCGATGCTTTTATGAAGACACTTAGGAATTGAGACTTAGGCTTATTTGGACGTCAGTTGTCTTTCTATTTTTTATTTTATTTTATTTTTTGAGAGGGAGTCTTGCTCTGTCACCCAGGCTGGAGTGCAGTGGCGTGATCTCAGCTCACCGTAACCTCGGTCTCCCAGGTTCAAGCAATTCTCCTGTCTCAGCCTCCTGAGTAGCTGGGATTACGAGCACCCGCCACCACGCCTGGCTAAGTTTTTGCATTTTTAGTAGAGACGAGGTTTCACCATGTTGGTCAGGCTGGTCTTGAACTCCTGACCTCAGGTGATCCCCCCACCTGGGCCTCCCAAAGTGCTGGGATTACAGGCGAGAGCCACTGTGCCCGGTCGTCAGTTGTCTTTCACTGTGCGTGAGACAGAAGAGATATAAATATCCCCAGACAAGTGCCGCTCATGCCATCTCCCACGCAGGCTCCAGACAGACACGGCTATTTCCTGTCTGCCAGGGCAACTGCCGTGGCACCCAGGTGGGATCTGCCACCTCTCAAAGGAGACAGTGGAAGACTGAAACGGCACGGCAGCCACCTACGCAGACATTTTCAAGATGATTCTCTGCCACTGCCTAGAAGATCTGACAGCAGGAGCAATCCCACCCCTGCTCGGGCAGGCGGGGGTCGCAGAGAGCGTGCATTATCCACCCAGAGCTTAACAGACCGGCTTCACCATCAGTTCTGGGCTTAAAACCATGAGCCTCGGTTTTTCTACTGGAGACAACCAAATGCAAACAAAGCCAGCCACAAGCCTCAGAGTCAACACCAGGGTGCCGTGAACAGTATCCAAGGTTCACCTGGCTTGAAGAAACTGCCACCATTTACAAAGCTGAGCATTACTGGTCCGGCTGCCCTTTCAATTTCTAAACTGATGAGGCAGCAACTATCAACTTGCTAACTGCAGGACTCAGTTAAAAACAAAACAAAACAAAAACAAAAACAAAAGCAATGTAAAGCAGCAGCCTGCCCACACGGAGATAAGCAAAGCTGGCCGCCTGTGCGGCTGTTTGGAAAAGGCTCTCCTTTAAAAATGTGGGAGGGGGGTTAGAAAGAATGTAGAGAAGCCACCGGTGATAATGCACTTTTCAGAGTTCCCGAAGGCATTCAGAACAGGCGAAGTGACTCAACATTCGAGAGACGCTAAGGTCTCTTATAGTGGAACCCGCATGAAGTCTCCAAGCACCAGACTGCTGGGTCTATGCCTGACTGTGATTTTACATCTGCGGCAGTGTTTAAACAGTAAATCTACCTAAAACCTTGCCTGGACGTGCGCAAACACCCCTCTTTCATTTGAAAGCCCCTTTGCTCTTCGTCAAAGCGTTTTTGAAAGATAGGACTGAGGAGCGGGTCAGAGGGTGACGAAGGGTGCCTGGCTGTCGGCAGGGGGTCCTCTTGCGTCAGTCTTCTTCCCAGGGACCCGCTTCAAAGGAAGTGACTCAGCATTACAAATGTGCAGCTCCTCCCATAGCTCTGCTAGCCAGGCTGCCCACATCGAACAGAGAAAATCAGGCACTTAAACGGGCTCAACTGGGCCAGTCCTGATTCTCCCCGAGATACTGGGCAGAGAAGGCTGGGCCTCCCCAAGGAGGCCAGACCGCATCGTTCAGCACCAGGCACCATCGGGCCTGTGGGCACCAGGTTTCTATTTCCAAACACAAAAGGGACTCTGAAACTGTTTCCAGGATGAGATGCTGTCTGGGAGGCACGGCCCAGCGAGTGAATCTTGGGGGATAAGGGTGGGTGGTCAGGCACCCCCAAGGTTCAGAAGGGCAGCCCGAGGCCATTTGAAAATACTCCGCAATTTTGTCCTCTTAAGTCACATTGAGAGGAACGTCTGATATCCTTTACACTTTCTTCAGTCCAGCCCAATGGAGATTTCCTGCATCAGCATTTTGACTAGAAAGGTCCATCACCCATTTTCTTTCTTTTCTCTCTCTCTTTTTTTGAAGACAGAGTCTTGCTCTGTCATCCAGGCTGGAATATAATGGCGCAATCTCGGCTCACTGCAATCTCCACATCCTGGGTTCAAGCAATTCTCCTGTCTCAGCCTCCCAAGTACCTGGGATTACAGGCCCATGCCACCACGCCCGGCTAATTTTTGTATTTTTAGTAGAGACAGGGTTTCACCATGTTGGCCAGGCTGATCTCGAACTCCTGACCTCATATGACCCACCCACCTCGGCTTCCCAAAGTGCTGGGATTATAGGCATGAGCCACCGTGCCTGGCCGCATCACCCATTTTCTTTTTTGTGTTTTTCTTTTTGAGGCGGAGTTTGGTTCTTGTTGCCCAGGCTGGAGTGCAATGGCGCAATCTCGGCTCACCGAAACCTCCACCTTCTGGATTCAATCGATTCTCCTGCCTCAGCCTCCCGAGTAGCTGGGACTACAGGCATGCGCCACCATGCCCGGCTAATTTTGTATTTTTAGTAGAGACAGGGTTTCTCCATGTTGGTTAGGCTTGTCTGGAACTCCCGACCTCAGGTGATCCTCCCACCCTGGCCTCCTAAAATGCTGGATTACAGGCGTGAGCCACCCTGCCCGGCCTCACATCACCCATTTTCTAAGATGCTCTATGAAGCCCAAGGGCTCTTCAGTCCTGGGGGCTGTTAGCTTTTGTGGGTCCCAGAGCCACTGTCTACCCAAGCTGGTGTCTGAAGATGGGCCGGGTGTCCCTGACCCAGGGAAGCAAGGAAAATGGTTTGAGGCCAGCATCTGGCTGAGAGTCCAGGCAGGGAGCTAAGGAGCTCAACCTGTGAACGACGGTGCTGAATGAACAGCATCTGTGTGTGTATCTACACGTGCACGCACACACACACACATGCACACACACAAGCACGCACACACACACACATGCACGCACACAAGCATGCATGCACACACGGAAGTGCACGCATGCACACAAGCACATGCACACACACGCACGCACATGCACGCACACATGTACGTGCACACACACACGCACACATGCAGATGCACGCACAGACGTACCCCTGTTCCACCAGCGCTGGACACGATGGCAGTCATGATGCCAAATGTTTAAAGATAGTTTCTATGGCCCTTGCCATTTGTCTCTTTTCTCCAATTCCCTCAATTCCCTGAACCACCACAAATCAATGAAACAAAGCATATTCTCCTACTTGTCAGAAGGGCACAGTTGAGACCAGTGACTTTCTGTGTCATGAAAGTCCCTATGTTAATATGGGATCAGATCACACTGGAGCCATCAAGGCCAAAGAGAAAGAAGATGTGGCTTCCGGCCCATGACTGAGGTCACAAGAAGAAGGGGATCCTGGAGATCGGGGTTTGGATATGAAGATATGAAGAGTGCTCGCTTCGGCAGCTCATGTACTAAAAATTGGAAGACATGAAGAGGTGCTTTTTGGTAAGACATTTGCACATGCACATGCGCAAACACACCACACATGCATGCACACACGCACGCAAGCACAGAAGAGGAGCTGGGTCCCCCTCTGGACTGGGACCTGAAAGCCAGTACAAGCAGAGTCCATCTGACCTTGGGCTAAATCACTCCCCAACTCCGGGGGCTGGAAAGGCCTTTCCAGGCTTCGCTTCTCCCCTTCAAAGAGCAAACTGTGGCAGGAATGAGAGGTGTAAGGTGTGGGGATTCGCGATAAAGGTGAACGCCACCAAAAGACAAAACTGGTTTAGAACCACTCGACCTAACCTCTCTGCGCGTCCGTGATCTTTGCTAATAAAACAGAATGGTTGGAATAGAAGACACCATCTCTAAGGTGCTTTCCAGTTCAAAAAACTGATTCTAGGCTGGGCGTGGTGGTTCATGCCTGTAATCCCAGCACTTCTGAGTGGCCCACGTGGGCGGATCACCTGAGGTCAGGAGTTTGAGACCAGCCTGGCCAAAATGCCAAAACCCCCCCGCTACTAAAAATACAAAAAATTCACCAGGCACGGTGGCACACACATGTAATCCCAGCTACTCGGGAGGCTGAGGCAGGAGAAACGCTTGAACCCAGGAGACGGCCATGTCAGTGAGCCGAGAACGTGCCAGTGCACTCCAGCCTGGGAAACAGAGCAAGACTATCTTAAAAAACAAAAACAAAAACAAAACTGATTCTAGATGATATGTATATATATTGAGTTTTCAGTAAAACAAAACGACGTCTTATAGGACAGGCAGGGATCTAATCCCACCTATAGCTGACAGACAATTTCCTACTGTAATAGTAGTTTTCCAATTAAAGTTTAACAATAAATATTTTCATAGACTCTGCCATAACAGTGATTGTACTGAGGCAGGCGGCCTCGTTACTAGGAGGTGGAGAAAATGCTATGAAGCATGCTACTTTATTTTATTTATTTTTTGAAACGGAGTCTCGCTCTGTCGCTCAGGCTGGAGTGCAGTGGTGCGATCTCAGCTCACTGCAACCTCTACCTCCCGGGTTCAAGGGATTCTCCTGCCTCAGTCTCCTGGGTAGCTGGGATTACAGGCGTGTGCCATCACGTCCGGCTAATTTTTGTATTTTTGGTAGAGATGGGGTTTCCCCATGTTGGCCGGGCTGGTCTTGAACTCCTGACCTTAAGGGATCCACCTGCTTCAGCCTCCCAAAGTGCTAGGACTACAGGTGTGAGCCACCGCACCCAGTTTGATTTTTAAATGGATGTTTCCCCAGCGTGCTCACGGAGTTTGCCGGTTACATCTCTCCGTGTAATATCTTGATAGAGGTGCAGGGCTCTAGCTGGAGTTTCAAAGCACACATTTTGCATCGTGACGGTGCTGCGTGGTGGTTGAAACCCAGCCACACGCACTGCCGGTCTTGACTGGTGGAGATTCTGCCAAGGTTAAGTGTGCCCACA